AAATCCGGAAATCCAATCATATCAGTGATAGCATTTGCTTTTTCTTCAGCTGATTTACGAGTTTCAGTATCCATCCAGTCTAAGTTTTTCAAATTTTTCGTAAAAGCTAATCTAATTTCATTTATCATCTCTTCTGCCTAATGAAACAAACAAGTAATTCTGTTTAATTCCCGTTATTAGTTCTAAATTAAGTTTGAAGAATATAAGATAAAAAATATAAAGACCCGTTTATATAAATACAAATTCAGTTATTATTATTAAATTGATAAATAAAATTCGTGAAATTATTAAAAATAATTATTGATACATCAATTTTAATGTTATTGAATTGATCAGTACATTGACATTTAAAGTTTACTATAATATACTAATTATACATATATATATATATATATATATATATATATATATATAATTTAAAAAATTAAAGAATAGTAAACATTAATTTAAAAATTAATAACTTTAGAGTAGTAAATATTTTTAAACGTTTTTACAAGTTGTTATTAAAATCTTGTACTACACTCTAAATTTTGGATAATATTCAACTTCTTGGAACAATTAATTTTCATTGATACAAAAGTATAATTCTCTATATTTTTTATGGTTATTAAATATCATTTTAAAAAAGTACAGAAACTGATCAATAATGTTCAAATATAAGTAAACTTATATTTCATTATTTATATTATGTATTTGTAATATCGCTAAAAATCTATGAATAAATGATTAAATTTTTATTAAAATTATTTTGACATATTTAATGTATAAAAACCAATATAATACAACTCACCATGGGTTTACTTTTACCATGAAAAACTTCACGAACAAACATTGCACCAATGGCAAAACCCATGACATTATTGGCGTCATTCACACAGTAACGCCATTGTTCTTCTCGGCCCTCAGAGCCAATTAAGGCCTTTCGTAACCCTTTGTAAGCATCTCTAAATGGTTTTGATAGACATGAGGTAAGTGATCTTACTGTTTGCCATACTAAATAATTATTCAGGACTCTGTGAACAACCAATAAAATAAAAGTGAATGAAACACAATCAAACTTTCAACGGATCAATATCA